TATCTCCCAGAAGTTAGATGATCCCTTTGGTTGAAAATATCTGGGGGGGGGGGAATCACGCGAGCTGAAGGGATGCCGGACGCAGAGGCTTAGCGTCCGTGGAAAGCTGTCTCAAGAAAATCTCCCTAAATAATCCTTTATTAAAATAAAACGGGCAGCCAAACGCTACTACGAGGCGACGGAAATAATGGACATTTAAAAACGTATCAACGTGGCCTCCTGAATCGTGGCGCGCTAAGGCCTTGGAGGGACCTTGGAGATCTTCTAGTCCGACAGCTAAGGGGACTGGGCATGTTTAGCCTAAGGAAGAGAAATTCTACGGCTGCATTAACAGAGGGATAGAATCAAGATCCTACAAAGAGTTAGTTCCACTTTATAACACCTCAGAATACGGCATCCAGTTTTGGTCGCCACGATGTAAAAAAGATGCTGAGACTCTGGAAAGAGGGCAGAGAAGAGCAACCAAGATGATCAGGGGACTGGAGGCTAAAGCATATAAGGAACGGTTGCTGGAATTGGGTATGTCTAGTTTAACGAAGAGAAGGACGAGGGGGGACATGATGGCAGTCTTCCAGTATCTCAGGGGCTGCCCCAAAGAAGAGGGAGTCAAGCTATTCTCCAAAGCGCCTGAAGGCAGGACAAGAAGCAACGGATGGAAACTAACCAAGGAGAGAAGCAACCTAGAACTAAGGAGAAACTTCCTGACAGTGAGAACAATTAACCAGTGGAACCACCTGCCTCCAGAAATCATGGATAGTCACTTGTCTGACATGGTATAGATTCTCCTGGTCCAAGGTCCTTTCCAGCTCCTATTCTGTTCTATTCTAATCCTATCCTATCCTATCCTATCCTATCCTAGTTCTATTCTATTCTATTCCATATTCCATATTCCATATTCTATATCCTATCCTATCCTATATTTTCCATCCTATCCTATCCTAGGTCTATCCTATCCTAGGTCTATCCTATCCTATCCTATCCTATCCGATTCCATATTCCATATTCCATATTCCATATCCTATCCTATCCTATCCTATATTTCCCATCCTATCCTATCCTATCCTATCCTATCCTATCCTATATTTCCCATCCTATCCTATCCTATCCTATCCTATCTTTTCCATCCTATCCTATCCCATCCCATCCTATCCTATCCTATCCTATCCTAGTTCTATCCTAGTTCTATCCTAATTCTATTCTATCCTAATTCTATTCTATCCTAATTCTATCCTAATTCTATTCTATTCCATATTCCATATTCCATATTCCATATTCCATATTCCATATTCCATATCCTATCCTATATTTTCCATCCTATCCTGTCCTATCGATACCACACGCAGAACAGCTCATGCTCTGCTAGGGAGACGTTCCCTGAGGATGGTGGGCTCCCAGCACGAGTCCGTAAAGCTAGGAAGTACTAAACCTCTGGTCCCGTTGACCGACCCGGATTGGATCCTGCCGACGTTATCCTGGGACACGTATATTTGCCTTCATTCCTTTCTCCCTGGTTGAAAAATGCCCCGAAGAATCCCTGCCAGACTCAGCGCCGGTTGCAGACAATTTATAACTGCTGGGGGATGCCCATCCCTAGCATCCATTAGTTCTCGTAATTGAGTTCCAGCACAAAAATACGGTGTGGTGTTTTTTTTTTTGTTTTTCCGTCTGCTCCCTTTGTAAGAAAAGAATTATTTTGAACTTTAGCAACTCTGCAGGGAATGGACGTGCAAAGACACTGGCTGTTAACAACAACACCCTCCCCGTTGTAAAAGTACTTCTGAAGCAACTAATTCATCAGCGTCTCTCTTGTCCGTTTAATACCGGAGACACGTAAAAGCACTTTCCCTGCCTTGTTTGTTAGGCATTAGTTAACGCAGTGACAACTTCGCTCCTGCTTTGCTTTCCCTTAGCATCCCTAGACCTACTCAGCATTTGCTCTAGGTTGCAGGGCGCCATCAGAAATAAGCCACCGTGGCTTCATTTCAGAAGAGAACTGGCTGGAAGCTACGAGAGGTAGAAAAGGGCCA